ATTCTTTCTGTTCTGTTCTATTCTAAATTCTTCATTCCATTATTCTCTTCTCTTCCTATTCTATTCTAATCTAATTCTATTCCATTATTCTCTTCTCTCCTGATTTCTCTTCTCTTCTAATTCTCTTCTCCATTCCATTATTATCTTCTCTTTTCTTCTGATTTCTCTTCTCTTTTCTTCTCCGTTCCATCGTTCTATTCTTTCTGTTCTGTTCTATTCTAAAATCTCCATTCCATTCTTCTCTCCTCTTCTATTTTTGGTGTGTCCAAAGTACCTTCGCTTGAGGGGGGAGGGATAAGTGTGGGAGGTGTAGTTTCAGGGGAGAACTGTGGGGAGTGGGCGCCCCAGGAAGTTAAACCAGCAAATTGCACCAGGATTGGCCTCCCGATTTAAGAAAACGAAACGGCCCATTCTGGCAAGGTCCCGGGTTCAAAACCTGCTGCAGCTCCTATTTGGGGGCTATTTCCCCCCAGGCAACCCCTGAGATCTTCCCCCAGCTGCTACCGGCTGGCCAATCAAGCAAACTCCAAAGCTACATCTCTACAAAATATCCCATAAAGCAAGAGAGCTAGGCAGCTGCAAACACACACACACACACACACACACACACACACACACACGAATTGCAGCACATTGCTCAGCGCCTGCCTGGGGTCCCTGTGGCTAGGACTTCATCTCAATTAGGGAGGCTTTGCTCTATAATAAGCTGCAGTATTTCGAAGCCTTCGGCAACTAATTTAGCGGAAGAAGCTGCTGATTTTGCACAACCCGCCCGGTTATTCCCTGGGAATAGCTACAAAAGCACTTGCTTCAATTTAGGAAGTTCTGGTTGGTCCTTTCCCACCTTGGGTCAGAATCTGGGTCAGTCCCATTCCTGCTCTGAAAGCACCAGACTTGGGGGAGAAAAATGAAAATATATTCTTTTGGTTGCTGTTGTTTTCCAATGTGTATTTTTTTTTCTTTATTCGTCTTCTTTTAATGACCCCATAATCCCTTGCCTAGGGGTGGAGTCAAGGCAACTGAATGGTGCGGAGTGTTGACTGGCCAGATGCCTTTCCTGTCACCCATGCGGAGTTTTTTTTTTCTTCTTTATTGCCAAGGTTAAAATATAGAATTAAGATTCTTAAAAGAACTCGGGGACTTGTAAACTGCTTCTCTCCCTAAAGTTTGCAAGGAACAAAACTTGACTTAAAAGTTTAATGTTTAAGCATTTATTACGGTCATCCTGCCGTGGCATGAAAAAAAATGGCCAAAGCAATGGCGGGACAAATAATTGTAATAAATATAATTTATTTACAAGGAGTCTGGTAGCATTCCCCCCCCCCTCACCCAACAAACCCATTTAAAATTTTCTTAAATAAATAAAGCAATCTGCTTCCAATAAAATCAGATTCCAACCCTATAAGGCCCAACCAGCTTTGGTTCAGATTGTTCTGGGATGACAAAAGCGGCAACGAAGGGACCCTGAAGGTGTTCTAGTCCAACCCTCTGCTCATGCAGAAGACTTAGACCACTTCAGGCAGGCAGGCAGGCAGGCAGGCAACAGAACCTAAACAGATGAGGAGTTTGCCCCAAACCCGCGTAAAACAGATGGGGAGATTAAATGAAGATTAAACTCTTATTTTAAATCTGGGAAACATTTGTTCCACAGTTTTAATGGTCCACCTGCAAGTAACTCTGTCCAGGGGTCTCGTCCAAGCTTTGGTAAAGGAGGAAACATCAGCCACAAATGTTTTTTTATTTAAAAAAAAACCACACAAACTTTCGTTGACCGTATCTAAGGATACAGATGCTCCCACTGGATTGGAAACTGAATTAATCCTCTGTGTATGTGTGTATATATATATATATGTATATGTACATGTGTGTGTGTGTATATATATATATGTGTGTGTGTGTGTGTGTGTGTGTATAAAAGCGAAATATCACATCACAAAATCTCCAGAACCGTAAAGCCTACAAATGTGAAATTTGGCACGTATCTTTCCTCTTGGCTTCTAGGTGCTCACTAAGAAAGGGTGTTTTGAATGACCATCAGAGCATTCGTATTTTGTTATATTATTAATATTAACATGCTCTGATGCTAAGGAGTTGTACTGTCCCTCCCCAACTGAAAAGAAATCTCTTCCAAATGCAAAACACAAGCAGAGGAGTTTCAGTTTCAGTTTCACAGCCACAAGCAGCTTTAGTACAAACCAGTTGAGCTAAGCCACGCCCAGGCTCCTTGCTGTCTCCTTCTTGCTCACACAGCAAAGACTGCTTCAGTTTCCAAACAGCCCTCCACTCTCTCGCACACTGACAGGACGCTAGCCAGATGAATACCGATGGATGCTGCTAGGCAGAGGCACAATTTTTTCCTCCTTATTTTCCTCCCCAAAAACTAAGCCCATCATCAGGCTTCTGTATTGTGTTCGACTGACGATACAGAATACAGACGAATACTATACAGAAGCCTGATGATGGCAGATGAGATTCTGCCGAAACGTTGCTACAACTTTAAAAACACAACTATAATGATGTGGGAAAATACCCGAACAAAGCTGAATACTATACATACATATACATTACGTATATGTATACATATACATATACATATACATATACACATACATACATACATACATACATACATACATATATATAAAAGCCACCATGTATGTGCATATGTGTGGGTGTGGGTATCTATATCTATATAGACATACATATCTATATACAAACACACACACACACACACACAGAGGATTAGTTCAGTTTCCATTCCAGCGGGAGCATCGTCCCTATCCTCAGATATGCTCTGCATATGTCCATTTTGCCGTAATAGATTTCTCAGGGAGCCAGCCCTTTGTTCCCAGCCTTGGTCAAATCCCAGCAGGGCCGGGAAGTCAACGCCAGCTGAGGTTGTGGTTAATCCCAAACCCCCCCCCCCTTCTCCCTCTGGATGTCCCCTTCAGCCAATTAGAGCCTGGCTCGCCCTGGGCTGCGCTGGCGCCGAGGGCCAGGTGCTCGTGGCCATTTCCTCAGGTGAGACGACTTCAAGGGTCTCCTGCTTGGACCCCGTGCAAGATTTATGCGGCAGCTTTTTCCGCCTGCAGAAGCAGCTGTCACTCACGCCGGAGCATTAAAGATGGAGAAGTCAAAATAGTTTTGCCAACTTTAGACATCTCACTAAAGGAAGCGAAGGCGCCAGGTTCCCTCCGCCGGGGATGAAGCCAACTGGATTTCCAGCTCCCGCGAGGGACAATTTGAGGGAGGGGGTTCATCCAAAATCAAAAACTCCCCCCCGCCACGAGGCCAGGTTGTCCCACTGATGGTTTTAAGAAGAAACTGGACAGCCCCCTGTCTGAAATGGTGTAGGGCCGTGATGGCGAACCTATGGCATGAGTGCCACAGGTGGTGCGCAGAGCCATTTGTGTGGGCACGCAAACTTACCTCACTGCATCTGTGTGTGTCTCCCAGCTGATTCTAGGGCCTTTCTCAGCCTGTCAGAAGCTTGAGGGAAGCCTCTGCAGGCCGAAAAATAGGCCCGTTTCGTCACTTTCTGTATTTCCGGAAATACCAGAAGTGATGACATAGGCCCATTTTTTTGGCCTGCAAAGCCTGCAGAGGCTTCCCTCAAGCTTCTGACAGGCCGAGAAAGGCCTCAAATGGGCCAAAAATCAGCTGGAAGGTGCAGTGCAGGTAAGGGGGCGGTGGCGTGGGGGAATCCCCCGCGCACGCGCAGGGGGCATGTGGAGGCCGTGTGCATTGCCTTCTGGGTGCTGGCATGTGAGCAATTTTGGGCACAGGAGCCCAAAAAGGATAGCCACCCCTGGTGTAGGATCTCCTGCTTGAGCAAGGGGTTGGACTAGATGACCCACAAGGTCCCTTCCAACTCTTTATCTGTTAAACTAATCCGATCCTCTTGTTCTTTGGGTGGAGACTTTTGATGGAGTTGGGGATGATGGGAGTCCTGCTCTCTCCTCCCTTCTTCTCCCAACCTGGCCTTCGTCAGAAGCGGGCAACGCTTTCACCAACCTACTGCTTTCCATTAGGGTGGGACTACAAGGTCCCTCCTCCCCAGCCAAGGACAGGCAGGAGGTATTTGGGCTGGAGCTGATGGGAATTGGTGTCCTCTGTCTTAATCCTATCAAGTTTGGGCATGGCTTTTCCTAATCTGCCCTGGTCCAGTTCTCATGGCTGGGGATGATGGAAGCCTGGTTCAGCACGCCTTCCTTTCCCTTGGCTCCTTGGGGCTGGGGAGGATGGGCACTGAATGCCACAGCACTGTGGAAACTCCCAACGGCACAACCACTCCTCTTGTGGACGGGGATGATGGGTTTTCCGATGTTCCTTCTCTCCTTCTATCATATGAGGCAACATATGAACCATGGGATGCTGGCAACGCAGCACCTAGCAGCTATGGCTGATGGGCCTTTGCCTTGCACGGGGCTGTGGGACAGCCCAGTTCCAGCTGAGGATGATGGGCCCTATAGGAGGCTATGAGACACTCCCAGCTGCAGCTGGGGATGATGGATCCCTTGCCCTGCACAGCTCCAGTTGGGGATGATGGACCCCTTGCCCTGCACAGCTCCGGCTGGGGATGATGGACCCCTTGCCCTGCACAGCTCCGGCTGGGGATGATGGACCCCTTGCCCTGCACAGCTCCGGCTGGAGATGATGGACCCCTTGCCTTGCACAGCTCCGGCTGGGGATGATGGATCCCTTGCCTTGCACAGCTCCGGCTGGGGATGATGGACCCCCCTTGCCTTGCACAGCTCCGTCTGGGGATGATGGACCCCCCTTGCCCTGCACAGCTCCGTCTGGGGATGATGGACCCCTTGCCCTCCACGCAGCGCTTAATCTCCTCCATTCTAACCCCCAACCGGGCCACGTGCGCAGCGGAGGGCGTGGCCCTCCCGCGGCCAGGGGGCGTGGCTAAGGGCGCGGCCCCGCCCCGCGCTCGCCTCCGCCTTCTCCACAACCGGCCAAGATGGCGTCGCTCTCGCTGCAAGAGGCCTCGATGCCGGCGACCGGTGGCTTCTCCTTCCACAACACCGCCCGGTGAGGCCGGGGAAGCGGCGGGGAGCCGGGCGGGGAGGCCCGAGGAAGCCGGCCGGAGGAGCCGGAAGGGCCCAGGAGGCCGCGTCGGAGCCCCCTCAAGCCGCGTCGGGCTCGGCCAAGGCGGCCGTGACTCAGGAGCCGGGCTCCGCGCGGGCCAAGCCGGCCCGGAGCGGAACGGACGCCCGGCTGCCGCTTCCTCCCGTCCGGGGAAACCCCCTTTTTCCGCTCCCCGGGCGGGTTGTGCCGGTTCCCGGCGACGGACGGGGCCAGCGCTTCTCCGGGCCTTCTGGGAACTACTACTCCCAGAAGCCCCGGCCCTTGGTGTCCCACGCTGAAGCATGCTGGGAGTTGGAGTCCCGGAAGAGAAGGGGCGCCTCTGGGCAGCCAGCGGAGATGGGGGGGCGGGATCGCAGCCTGGTTTGGGGGTGGGTGGGATGCGAGGATCTCCCCTCCCCTCCAAAACCAGCCCCTCCTTGGGTTGCACCCTGTTTTTTCAGCCCCAGGTGGGGAGGGGGGCGGAGGAAACCCCCCCCCCCCCCTCCCTTTTGCAAAAAGGGGGGGGGGTGATACAAGTAATTCCTTTTCGATATAACCTGAATATCCTAATTCTTGTATTGAATTTGTATAACCTGCACATGATTTTACAACTGGGGGGCTGGAGGGCCCACCTCTCCCCCATGCCTGGAAACTTGTCACCTCTTGGAGAAAGAGAAGAAGCGGCCATAAAAAAATCCAGCTTCAAAAGAAGAAGAATCTTATCTCAACTACATTCCCAGAAAAAAACAACAACCATGAAATTAACATGTTGTTTCTTTGTATTGACGAAATCCACACCGGACTAAGGGGAGGGGCTGTAACTCCCTTTATCTAAGCTGCATGCCTGGAAGGATATCAGATCCTGCTTGGAAGGTGGACCGTCTGTCTTCCTTTTCACTAAAGTTCATTTACTTTTCAAAAGTTCGTTCTGATCCTCTGAAAGGGAGAGAGAGTCTAATCCTTACAACCATCCATGATCTGGGGATGCGGGCAGGGTCTCCTCTCATGTTGGCTTCTCTTCCGCTTGCAGGAATGCCCAGCTGGAATCGGAGGGGCCCCGGAAGGGTCTTCGGCTGCCTGCCGCTCGCAAGACGGGCACCACCATTGCCGGCGTGGTGTACAAGGTAAGGCCGAGGTGGCGGCTCTCAAGGAAGATGGCCCTCGGGGTTCCGTGCCAAAGGTGCAGCCTGAACCCGTCTTTCTCGCCCTCCCCCAGGATGGTATCGTGCTGGGCGCAGACACCCGTGCCACCGAAGGGATGGTGGTTGCCGACAAGAACTGTGACAAGATCCATTTCATCGCTCCCAACATCTAGTAAGTCTGCTTGGTCCCGAATCGAGGCGGGGAAGGGCTGGGGTTTGTGCATCGGGCCTCCTAGTCGAAGGAGAAGATGCGCGTGAATTGTGAATTGTGTGGCAATCAGCATGCGCTTGGGTGTTACGTAAAGCGAGTGTCAGTTCTGCCATTTTCGGCTTGGTGCTGTCAGGTTTCCAAGTGATGAAATCCATTGAAAAAGAAAAAGAGCAAAGTCCCATCTTCCAAAGCAATTTCTTTTCTTTAGGAAAGCATCAAATTCAGAGGTGGTGTTCAGAAGGTTCTGACCAGTTCTGGAGAACTGGTAGCGGAAATTTTGAGTAGTTCGGAGAACCGGCAAATACCACCTTTGATTGGAGATTTTACAGTATCCTTCCCCTGCCACACCCATAGAACCAGTAGTAAAAAAAAAATGAATCCCACCACTGATCAAATTGTCAAAGTCTGTTGTAATTCTGGATCCGACACAACCTGGAATTATACCACATAATATTGGAAATTAGAAGCAACCCTCAAAAGTCACCTTCCCCAATAGAAGTAAATCAACGTTTGCCTGGTGTCTTCAATCTCCAGGTCTCAGCAGGGCCCGCTTTTGTCCCCCCATAACCAGCACAGGGAAAGAAAGAAAAAGAATATAGAATAAAGCTAAATGAAATGGCTATGCATATGTCAATTTTGGGCTTGACAGGTACCTAACATCAAAGGTTAGGAGGGAGGGAGCATGGAGGGGGGGAACAAATGGGCAATAATGTATGGAGATGTGGTGGGAAATAGGAAGGGGGTGTGGAAATGACAGCTTGATGAAGACCAGAGAAGCACGGAACCATCTTGTGTCAGCATTCAAAGCCACACACCCTGCCCCAAACATCTCATGGATTCTCAAAACTACTCTCTTAGATAGATAGATTAACAGAGTTGGAAGGGACCTTGTAGGTCATGTAGTCCAACCCCCCCCTCCTCCCAAGCAGGAGACCCTACACCATTTCTGACAGATGGCAGTCCAGTCTCTTCTTGGAAGCTTCCAAGGAGGAAGCTCCCACAACTTCTGAAGGCAAAAGCTGTTCCACTGGTTGGTTGGTCTCACTCATTCTCAGTGGAAGGATTGAAAGCAGGAGAGAGTTACTCCGTCATCATGTCTAGGGCTGGCAATCTCCCCCCCCCCCCCCCCCCCAAAAAAAAATGGGAGGGGGGACCGGCAGGGTTGGGGGAGAGAAATACCTGCGTGAGTCAAATAAATAATATAAAACTTATCTTCTCCTATGTGGCTCTTCGTTGGCTGAAGATTAACTGGTCACGCAGGGAGGGCTGGGATGAGGGGGAAAAATTGTAAATTTTCCTGCGGGAAACTTAGATCTAGTGTGGCTTTGCCGCCACCAGTAACCTTTAATAAAAGAACCTATCACTTCACTCAAAAGGAGTCGAGGGTCTTTCTTTCCAGGCTGGGCAGGTCTGACAGTGAGGTTCCTTGGAGTGGAAGAGGCTGATCAGTTTCAGAGTGACTCAAGAGATGCTGTTTTACTCTTGCAGCTGCTGTGGGGCCGGAACGGCTGCGGACACCGAAATGACCACCCAAATGATCTCTTCGAACATGGAGCTTCACTCCCTTTCGACTGGCCGGCTCCCGAGAGTTGTGACGGCCAACCGGATGCTGAAGCAGATGCTTTTCAGGTACCTCATTGTTGTCTGGGTGGGATTGTTAGCGGGCGAGAAGGGTTCCCTCCACACCTTTCAGAGGCGAAGGGAGGGAGGAGTGAAAACATTCAAGATGGCAACTGAGCACAATTTATGCGGGGAGGAAAATTAGAATAGAATAGAACAGAGAATAGAACAGAACAGAATTCGTTATTGGCCAAGTGTGATTGGACACACAAGGAATTTGTCTTGATGCAAATACTCTCAGTTGTACATAAAAGAAAAGATACATTCATCAAGAGTCAAGAATAATCAGGTACGACACTTAATGATAGTCATAGGGTACCATAAGCAATCAAATCATACTAGGAAACAGTCCACATAAATCCCAAGGATACAAGCGACAAAGTTACAGTCCTACAGTCACAAGTGGGAGGGGATGGGTGATAGGAGTGATGAGAAGATTAATAGTGATAGTAGTGCAGACTTTGTAAATAGTTGGGCAGTTTTGAGGAATTGTTTAGCAGAATGATGGCCTTCGGGGAAGAAACTCCCCTTGTGTCTCATTGTTCTGGTGTGCAGGTCTCTATAGTGTCGTTTTGAGGGAAGGAGTTGAAACAGTTTATGTCTAGGATGTGAGGGGTCTGTAGATATTTTCACAGCCCTCTTTTTGACTCGTGCAGTATACAGGTCCCCCATGGAAGGCAGGTTGGTAGTCATTGTTTTTTTCTGCAGTCCTAACTATCCTCTGAAGTCTGTGTCTGCCCTGTTGGGTTGCAGAACTGAACCAGACAGTTACATGGAGGTGCAGGTATCCCCGCTGTGATGTTTCTTTGTTGATTTTCTTGTGCTCCAGGTACCAGGGATACATTGGTGCAGCTTTGGTTCTCGGTGGGGTGGATGTCACTGGGTCTCACCTCTACAGCATCTATCCTCACGGCTCGACCGACAAGCTGCCCTACGTCACGATGGGTGAGTCGCACTCTTGCACACAACTCAGTTGAGGTGTCTGCACTGCCCACTAGTGGGGGACCCAGAGCATTTAATTCCCTCCACTCCCCCTTCCGATGATTCAGCTAATAGGGCAGAAAAAGAAAGCGAAATTCTTGGCTGCTTTAATGGTGCCTTTGATCCCCTCTGGAGACTCTTGAAAAGAATTGGAGGGAGAAGCTGCAAAGAGGGATCTCCTCCCTCTGAAAAAGGAGTCGTTTTATCTTCCAGGGGAGGAAAAAAACCAAAACAAATTGTAGGCCAGCTCTCTAAAAACGCCCTAAGTCCTAAGGAGAAAGTGAAAGAATACAGGTAGTCTCCACTTACGCTCACAACTGGGCCCAAAATTCATGTTAATTATCAATAACTCAACATTACTAAGTGAAATTTGCCCCATTTTATGACCTGCCTTACCGTCATAAATATGAGTCAGTTGCCAAGCGGCTGAATTTTGATTACGTGACCCTGTGGATGCTGCTGCAACGGTCATCAGTGCGGGAAAAAACTGACCACGAGTCACTGTTTTTTCAGTGCCGATGTAACTTTGAATGGTCGCTAAATGAACTGTTGTAAGTTCGAGGACTACCTGTACATGAAGAGCATTTCAATTTCCTTAACTGGGCCCTTCATAGATTCCTGAGTTGAGAAGTTTCTTTTTAATGCCTTTTTTCCGCCCCCACTGAATTAAATGGATGCAAGAGATAGTGGTAAATGTAGCCATTAGTATTTCTCTGAGCTTGGATCCCCGAATTCAACTCACCTTTGGGTTATCCTTCGTTTCTTTAAAAAGCGTTGCCCAAGTGAGCACCAAGAAAATGCCAGAAAAAAACTCGGAAATATGATCAGAAATAATATATCCCAGTTAATGATGATTGGATAATGGAACGGAATAGAACAGGAATAGGAATAGAAAGGAATAGGATAGGGTAGTATAGAATAGAATTCTTTATTGGCCAAATGTTATTGGACACACAAGGAATTTGTAAAATACATTCATCAAGAATCATAAGATACAACACTTAGTCATAAGATACTAAATAAGCAATCAAATCATACTCGGAAACGAAAACAATATAAATCGTAAAGATACAAGCAACAAGGTTATAGTCATAGGTAGGAGGAGATAGGTAATAGGAAGGATAGAGAAGAAGAATAGGGATAGAACAGAACAGAATAGAATAGAATAGAATAAGGAAAGAATAGAATAAGGAAGAAAGGAATGGAATAGAATAGAATAGAATAAGGAATGGAATTAGAATAGAGTAGAGTAGAATAGAGTAGAGTAGAGTAGAGTACAGTAGAATAGAATAGAATAGAATAGAATAGAATAGAATAGAATTCAATTCTTTATTGGCCAAGTGTGATTGGGCACCCAAGGAATTTGTCTTCGATGCATAAGCTGTCAGTGTACATAAAAGCTGTAAGTGATAAATCATGATCATAATTGTCATAAATACATTCATCAAGAATCCTAAGATGCAACACTTAGTGATAGTCATAGGATATTAAACAAGCAATCAAAATCATACTAGGAAACAAAAACAATTATAAATTGTAAAGATACAAGCAACCAGGTTATAGTCATAAGTAGAAAAGGAAATAGGTAAAAGGAAAGATGAGAAGAATAACAGTAGTGCAGACGTTGCAAATAGTTGGACGGTGTTGAGGGAATTATTTGTTTAGCAGAGTGATGGCGTTCTGGGAAAAACTCCCCTTGTGTCTCGTTGTTCTGGTGTGCAGGGCTCTATAGCGTCGTTTTGAGGGTTGGAGTTGAAACAGTTTATGTCCAGGATGTGAGAGGTCTGTAAATATTTTCACATTTTAATTTTAATTTTAATGGGATGATGGACTATTTTCCACCTATCGCCTTGTGCAAAACTCAGATTTTGTTTGGACAAAAAGTCTACCAGCCCAAACCGGGGTGCTAATAGTTTCCATACAGACAGTCCTCAAATTACAACAGTTCGTTTAGTGTGACCACTCAAAGTTGCAACGGCACCGGAAAAAAAAGGCTACTCACGACCGTTTTTCCCACACTTATGACCGTTGCAGCCTCCCCCATGGCCATGTGATCAAAACTCAGGTGCAGCATCCCTCTGGGTGTGTGTGTGTGTGTGTGTGTGTCATGTGATTTCCCCTTTTGCGACCTTCCGACAAGCAAAGGCCATGAAGTAAGCCTTAACAACGGTAAAGATTCGCTGAACAACGGTGGCAGGGACGGTCATAAAAGGAAGGCAAAACTCACTTAGCAACTTGTCTCGCTTAGCCACCGAGATTTTTGTGGCTCAATTGTGGTCATAAGTCGAGGATCAAGGGGGAACCCCAGGCATCTGAGGATCTGAGGTTGAATCGAGCGAGACCATATTCAGGCCAATAGATGGTGCCATGCTACCCTACAAATGTATATTGCATTATTTATTCTGTGCATAAAAATCTTTCTCCATCACCACCACCACCAACCCTCGTTTCTGAAAAAAAAATGCTATTATAGGATTTATGATGTAATATTCTATCCCGCCTCTTATGCGCATTAACATAAAAGATGAAATTGGATTAATATTTATAAATGTTGCCCTGAAACATATAAATTATTAAGCCACTGAACCATAAATTACCTTGTTCTGTGTGTGTGTCTGTGTGTTTCTGGGAGACGAGTGTACATAGTGAGTGATTAGTGAACTAAAACAGCAAAAATCTTGTCTGCTGGGCACTGGGGTCTTTTTTTTTTTTAATTTGGTTTTGTTTGCTCTGGAACACGAGTATCTTAACAAATATTCTTCCCTGAACCTTGCAAAAGAAAACAGACCATTGAGGAGGATTCTCAGGAAGACACCAGCCTCTCCTCCTCCTCTTAGGAACGCCCGTTGTGTCCCTTTGCCTCTTTCCATCCAGCCGTGCAAATCCCTTTTCCTTCTGTTTTCTATTCCTCTTTAAGGAAGAAAAAGTGAGGTCTTGTAAGATCTGAGCAGAACGTCTTCAGGGTCGGTGTGTTCACTTCCCGCCCTGTCACACGTTGTGCAAAAGTCAGATTTTGCTAGGACGAAATCTACCGGCCCCAACCAGTTTGCCAACATAAACGTTCAAGCTAGACTGTGAAGTTTCTCTGTGTGATATATGTGTGTGTGTGTGTGTGTTGGAGGGGTATAGGCATAAGGGTTATCACCTGAGAGCTGAAGGCAACAGAATTTCATTTTAATGGATGCTGATTTGTGTACATTTAAAGTGGTAATAAAGTTCTGTTCTACTCTACTCTTCCCCTACGGGGGAAGGCTACTCTACTCTACAATATTCTATTGTATTCCTATTCCCTTCCATGTTCTATTCTACTCTACTCTGCTCTATTCCATAATATTCTTTCCTATTCCTATTCTATTCTATTCTTTCCTATTCTGTTCTATTCCTATTCTACTCTACTCTTCCCCTACTCCTATTCTATTCTATTCTATTCTATTCTATTCTATTCTATTCTATTCTATTCTATTCTATTCCTATTTCCTTCCATATTCTATT